CGCCTGCTCCCTGCCTGATCCCAGCATGAGATGCAACCGTGCAAACACGTGGGTCTCTCTCTGCTCAGCCCCGGCTGGGATCCGTGCCCGGACAGAGCCCTCCATCAGACCTGCAGGGTGTCCCCAAGGGACCCTGGCCCCCGGGGCTCCTTCTCCAGGCAGGCAGAAGGTGAAATATGAGTTTCATCCCTCCAGACATTTTAATGACTTCACTTGGGAACCAAAGGAAAGAAGAGAGACAGAAAGATCAAGGACCAGTTGCTTAGTAACGGAAGGAGGGAGGCTCAGGGGATGGGGAGAAGGGAATTTTTATCTTTTCTTTTTTTTACGAGACTGTTTCTCCACTTTCAGGAGACATGAATCCCCCCTCCAGCATCTCTGGTGCTACATCCTGGATGGACATCCCCCTCCATGGCTAGCAGAGACACCGAGCTCTGGCTGTTTCTATCCCCATCCCTGGGGCTGTGGGAAGGTTCCCCCTAAAACCAACAGACTCTGTATCTTCCTAGCACAACACCGGTAAAGGACAGAGGTGGTAAAAAGTGGTGGATCTCAGTGCTGGACAGAAAGATGCTTTCTCTGAGTGGCAGGCAAGAACGTGGCCTCCACCACCACCTAATTTTTGATGCTCTATGAGACCACCAGCAAAAATGGGAGGCAGGCAGCTCCAGGAGCTACCTACTGAGCTAGGACTGAGATATTTAAAAGCAAGCCGGTCACAGAAGCCTCTGCCAGACCCTTTACATTCAAAACCTGCTCCTTCTCCTGCCCGAGCTCTCCTCCCAGCCAGAGGAAGCCAGCTGGGAACGGAGCTGGGAGTTTAAGCTGCCCATCACAAGCGCTGACCTTTCCTTCCCAGCGCGGCGCGTGCCGAGACAAGCTGAGGGCTCACGTTCACACCCCCGAAAATGTCAAGCCCTGGCAGCTGGACTGGGAGCTGGGAGAGCCGCTGGGAGCCCTCGCAGCACAAGGCACAGCAAAACCAGGCTGCAATTAATTAAGACCAGGATGCATGCTGTTAACCGTTTACTGCCCTCCAGAAGGGAGTCGTTTCCATCCCTGCCTTCACGCTGAGCATCCTGTGGGCAGAAGGATGCTCTGTGGACCTTCGCAATGCAGGCAAGGTCACTGGTACCCCTAAAACCTACCACCGCTTGCCCTTCGTCAGGCGATGCTGTTCGCCACCCTCACTGCTGCAGCTGGAGGGCAGAGGTCTCGTTCCTCCCTGGGGAGCACAGGCCCTTCTTCCCCTTCGCCCCCTCATCTCACCTCCAGCCCCCCTTCACCCAGCCGATCTCTAACCCGCAGCAGAAGAGAAAGGAAAGCCCCAGACATCCCGCTCTGAGTTTCCATGGGAACAGAAGTGCTGCTGGTCCTCCCAGCCCTGCAGATGCTGATTTCAGAGCAGAGCATCCTTGCAATGCCAAGGGTGGGAGAAAACCACCCCCACCCTTCCGCAGATCAGCCTAAAAAGCTTCCCAAATTTCACCTGCTACCTGCTGCAGGCAGGGGACATAACACTGCTCAGCAGCTGTATCATCACACAGGTCCACGTCCCAGCCTGACGCTGCCCATGGGCTGTGGTTCCAGCTAGGGCAGCGGGGGATCTGCTTTGGGACTGACTTTCTTTGCCCCTTCGGGGCACAGATATTCCACGGCCATATGGAGAGTTTGCATCGCATGGTCAAACTCTAGGGAAATAGGAAGTAAGCAGCAGCCTGGGGATCAGAGGAGCAGCAAGGTGAAGCACAGGCCGCTCAGAGGAAGGGGAGAGGCATTTAGCAAAGAAAAGCTGGGCTCCCATGGGGAGGCACTGCTATGGGATATCAGGACGGCACTCTGCCCCCTGCTTGGCTTGTTTCCTACACGTTTGTCATATGCTGCAGCACAAAGCCCGGGCACATATATATGTATATCAGGACTAGTGTGAGCCAGGCTCTTTCCCCTTATGCATCTGAGATTTTCCTGCTGCTGCACGCCGGCCTCTGCCTGCAGGCAAAGCCTCCCTGGGGATCACGTACCTGGAAATCCATCTGCCAGGGCTCGGGGCTGACCTGCTGCAGGTCCTGCAGGTGGGTTTTCCGAAGGGGGGTTTTCACCAGGGCGGTGCCAGGATCACTGGCCGTGGGCACCTTCTTGCAAGGCTGGTGGTCGGCAATTTGGGTGGTGCTGTACGCCCGTCTCCTGGAGGAAGCCTTCACGTCCGTCCCTGCACGGCGGGAGAGAGGATCAGCTCCGCTCCTGAGCGGGACCAGCCAGCACCATCCGCCCCTGGCTCACGGTGGGCAGCAGGGAGCCCAGCCCCGTGGTCCTCCCAGGGCCGAGGGGGCCACGCTCAGTCCTGCCCTGTTTTAAGTGAAGCAATGAAACCATGAAAGGAAATAAGAGCCTACACTCAAAACTCCTGGGGATGTCGGGAGAGGAGGTTAGGGAGGTTTTGTCTGAGCAGTTTTCAGCCAGAAAAAGCCTGCCTGCATTTCCCCAAACCTCCCTGGAGAAGACAAAGGGTTTACTAATGAAATTTCATTAGCGCAGACATTCTCCTGTCAGAGCAAGAGTAAAATTTCATTTGGAAAGGCATGATTTCTCAACCTTCTGACAAGATTGAGGGGATGCGCAGCACAGTTCCTCTCTGAATATAAGGGAAGAATATCCCACGAGTAACAGAGGTTTCCTTGTCACATGGAAATGCAGCCAGCTCTGGGGTGCAGCCAGTGGCTTTATGCCACAGGTTGCTGACACAAGCGCCCAGCCAAACTGTGATGGTGAGGGCTGACACCCTGGGGACAGGGCTTTGGATCCATTCCCCCCCTCTCCTGACCTCAAACTGCAACGTCAGGGCTTGCCTGGAAGCGACTGCTTTGCAGGTGCAGGGACAGTCCAGCTGGGCTACCTCCTCTCCTTCTCCGCACACCGGAGGGCAGCTTGGGAAGCTTGCAAATAATTATGTGGCCAAAGCTAGAGCTGCTTTGAAAATCTCCAGGGAAGCCAGTTGTCCAGGCCTTCCCTTGATTTCCTGACAGGTTTGGATAAAACATCCAAACCAAATAGACTCGCTCAAGCCTCGGGAGATCTGTCATCCCTCCTGCAAACCCCTCCGGCTCTTTGGAGAGATACAGCCAAAGAGACTTATTTGTCAGACAAGCAAATTGGCAGAGCAGTGACAGAAGCTTGATTGGAAAGACAGGGCCATCACACCCACGCTTGTACAGAGGAAAACCTGACCGGTGTCCGTGTCCGATTCTCCCCCGGGATCTCTGCCCGCCACCAGGTGGTCGGGGGCACGCTCGGCGGGGCAGCAGCCCTCCGAGTCTCTGGAGTGGTTCCAGCTCTCCACGCCTGCTCCCTCCTCCTGGGAGTGAAAGAAAACGGAGCTGCCCGACTCCTGGGAATGCATCATGCTGTAACGTCGCCTCTTGTCCTGGGGGAAAGCAGAAAGAGGGAATAGGTCCTACCACTGCGTCCACCAGCCACCTCCCAGCCGAGGGGAGCCACTGCGTGTGCACCAGCGCCCTTACCCACTGAGCTTCTATTTCTCCCCGATGTCTCACCCACCATCTCCCTTGAGGACAGAGCGAGAAAGCAAGAGACACCTCCTGACCACGCAGAAGGAGCTGAGACGCCCGCTTGTGCATGTGCACGCCAACACCCCCTGCGCCCGGGACAGCCCCACCGGCCCGCGCAGCATGGACTCACAGATCTGGGGTTGGAGATGTACGGGGAGGTGTCGCAGACGATGCCGTAGCCGACCAGGCGGTCACCAGGGAAGAGGCAACTGGTGCTGACGGGGGAAACCAAGACCTCGGTGCTCTCGGGAAAGACCCACTCCACGGACACGTCACTCAGGACCGGTGCCATCGCCTTCTTCAGCGACTTGATCATCTGAGGCAGAAAGCAAAGGGGAGCAGTTATGCAGCAAGCGGACGTTCCGTGTGCCACGGTGCACGCACCGTGTGTGGCAGGGGAAGGGGAAAATTCCCCCAAACAAATCCATCAGCTGATTTGTACCCTCTCCTGACCTTAGATGGGAGCCTGCTCCCTCTTAGACTGCTCTGACACCCACCCCAGCACCCCCAGCCCCTTGGCACGGTTATACCAAGGGCAGCAGAGCAGCTATTGATAAAGCACAGGGCTGATCTCACACCGCATGTTGCCAGCTCAGGGCAAGGTGGGAGCTTGTGGCCAGAGGTATCTTGCTCCGGTGTGAGGCAGCATCCCCTGCTCCCCTCCAGCACCCAGGAAAAGCTGTTGACCTTCACTTGTCTGAGCCCCGGCCCTGCCCAAGCCCCGACGCTCACGCACCGACTGACAGCACTGCTATTTTTGGTACAGGTCCTTGCTGGCACAAACCACTGCCGGAGATCAGCAATGCTCTGCCAATTACACATGTGGAGAAGACCAATATCTGTGAATATCTCATGGACAAACCTACCAGGGAGCCATCTACAAGATCTTCCCTGCACACCAGGGGAAGCGAACACCAGATTTAGAGGCAGAACAGCTCAAATATTCTCTATTGTTCACTGCTTTTTCACAGGCTCAGGAAGGCACACCAGGCTGTGTTTTATAAGGCCATTAATTGATGCCTCAGACTGCTGAAGGCACCAAGCTGCACAGCCCGCAAAGCTCTTTATTAATAGCTCTATAAAAAAAACCCCACTCCCTTCACTGTCTTTGCTTTTAATTTACATCAGAAATGCTGATGCCGTTCTGTCTTAGAGAGGTTTTTGTGTGCTCCAGGTTTCTGCAGAGGGGTGGACTGCTGAACTCCTCCTTTTGAGATCAAGAACGTAGGAGCCAGCTTTGTAGAGATATTTAGGAGCTAAAGACCCAATTCTCTCTGTGTTTAGTCATCCAGCGGATGACAGGCTAGGCACCGTGCTTTCACCAGGGGACAGAGCCATTCTTACGGCGTATTTGAGGCGCGTCGGTTTACTAAGCCTTCATGGGGAGAGTGGAAACGAAGAGGCTCCCCTCTTTGCTTTAAAGTTGGCTTAACAGGCAAAGCTATCGCAGCGTATTGCTCTCCCTCAAACCCCGGGTACTTCTCGCCTGAGCAACGCCAGGGCTCAGCTGACTTCAAAATTAATTGGCTGCTTTGATGCCGGTTCCTCTGCCCTCACCGGCGTCTGAGGCAGCAGCTACCTTTGAAGCCAAAGCTGCTGTATCGCGGCTATCGCTTCTCCCCATCCCCGCGCAGAGGGTAAACACACCCTCCCACTCCCTCTGACAGCCGGAGATGAAGATGCTCTTTCATCCCCTCCCGCACGCCCACCTGCTGCCGAGTGGGAGTTGGAAAGGCAGCACCAGGATGGGGATAAGACCCGCTAGCGAGCTGTGGCCTCCCCCTCGCTGAACCAGAGCATCGTCAGAGCCTTACAGGGGGGTGCTCTGGGAGGGGGCAGCCGCACCTTGGGCTGCAGCCTCTCGCCCTCCGCCAGGAACTCGGCGATGCCCCTGGACACGGCAGCCAGCCCCCGAACCAGTCTCCTGCAGGCGTTCGGCCCGATGCCGAAGCTGTAGCACCTGCAAAGGGACAGGGAGCGTCAGAATCCAGGGGACAAGCCATCCCGACCCCCAGCCCCACGCAGCTCACCCACTCCCTGCGGGCAGAAGACCCCGCCTGGCTTTGTCCCACTGCTATGCAGTTATCCAGCACGTCCGGAGGAAAATAAACCAGCTCCTCTTTTAGGTGGCTGGCAGGAGGGTCAGGAACCGCCAGCCCCCTCCTCTCAGCAGACCTCAAATCCCTTCCCCGAAGAGCAGCCTTCAGCCGCGACTCTCAGGGGCTTCCCAGCGGGACCCCAAGCCCTTGCCTCCTCTGCAAACACAAACAAGCTGCTTTGCTGCCAGTTCAGCTCTTTTCCCTGCTGAGCGTCTGTGGCCAATAGCACTAAAGACCCAGTAATTATCTCTGCTCGCAATTAAAATAAACGTTTTCTCAAGGAAAGAGGAACCAGCCAGGCGAGGCTGCTCCCCTGACTCCCAGCTCAGTGAGTCAGGATTTGGTTTGGGCTGAAGGCTGCAAACCCAGAGCCGAGCTGGAGCCTGGGCAGGGAGGGCAGGAGTGAGCAGTGCCTGGTGGGGATGGATGCGGTAGGAGGCCAGGAGGGACGGGGACGGGTGGGATACGGCGTTCGGCCAGGGCAGTGGATAGCTGAGGAGGAAACCACCTTCAGCAGCGACTGCATCTGCACGAGGGGCTTTTCTCTTAGAGGTTTTTAATCCCCAGCTGGCTGCAAATCTTAGGTCAGCCTCACACCCTCTTAAATAAGGCTCTGATCTTCTTTTGAGACAGGGGCCACACACACACGACTCGGCAGTGCACTGGGCACTGCCTTCCAGGGTTACCCGAGACCACGCTCTAACTCTGATTGCATTTAGCCCACCACCATGCCTCTATAAGAGCAAGGGATGGGTTGCCCTATACAGCTGGGAAGCAGCTAGACCTCCCTATAGTAAAAAAAGGACAGAGCAGCTTCCCTGATAAGCCCTGAAGTCTGAGGGATGGAAGAGGAATAAGGTTTTCTTACATTTTTCTTATGTTTCATGCCCCTTAAAGAGGCAGAGGACAAATCAGACCAGCCTGTCATCAGGGCTGGGGAACCAGGCTGGCAGCTCGATGCACAAATTAGTTGCTTGTTACATTGCTCTCTTTCAGCATATTCAATTCTGCGCAGCCCCATCCTGGAAGCAGCTGGGGCCAGACCCAGATGTGCTTTAAAAAAAATAAAAAAACCCGGCAAGGAAGATTGTTCGTGTGTCAATCTCTGCTAGCAGGAAGCATCAGACGAGAGCCTGTGAAGTTGTCAGCCCAATTATCCTGCTTTTGATTGTTTAAAAAGCATCTGAACTTCTGGGATCTGTTCCAAACCCTTTGAGGTTCTCCCATGGCTCATACCAGCAATCTCTCCTGCCTCTCTCTCTGAAGCGCGGACGTCTGTGAGATGGAGGCTTGTTCAAGGAGAAGCACATCCCCCACCGTGGCAGGCTTTTGCCCCCGCGGTGGCGAGCCCCGCCCCCCTCCGTACCTGGTGGAACAGGAGTGGTTTCGCAACAGCTCCAGGACCTTCCCCGTGTTGCTGATGGCCCCGTCCGTCAGCAGAAAGAGCAGTCGGGGATGGCCCCTGTGGATGGGCTGCCGAATGACCCACTTCAAAGGCGACAAGATGTTGGTGCCACCCATATCGGCCCGGATCCTCTTGATGCTCTCGCAGGCCATGGCCAGGCTCTCCTGCCCAAACGAGCAGCAGAATCGTCAGCCTCTGCACCAGCGCCCTGTGAGCACCGAGGAGATGTGGCTCCCCCTTCACCCACCTCGCAGTAAGTCTGACTGGCAGGAAAGAGGGTCTTGAAGGTGGATCCAAACCCAATGACGTTGAAGAGACACGCTGGCATCAGGCTCTTGAGAATGACCAACAGGGCATCCTGGGGGGTGGAAAGCAAGCGGCCATCAGGCAGGCCGGGTCTCTCCCTGGCTGCCCCAGCTTCACCAGTAAAAGCTCTGCCCAAGTCCTACCTTGCCATCACACCTTACTCCATTTGCCTGCGTGCATTTGATAATAAAACAACTGTTTCTTTCACATGCGCTGCCTGTGAAACCCCTGCATATTACTCTGCTCTTTCAGTCCCTTAATGATATTTGGGTCCCAAAGCAGTGAGGAAAATGGGGAGCCTTCAAAGAAAAAAAGAGCTGAACAAATTTTTCTGTTTGTTTTTAACTGATTAAATTTGTGCTTGCAACACGGTACTGCGGCACGGAGCTAGTGGGTGAGAAGCAGAGTGTGAAATTGAGAAGTGTGACACGCAATGCATTTCAATGTCCAAACTTGCAGAAAATAAACAAACAGCTTAACATTACACAAAAGGAAAAGCCTCCCCCATCCCCAATTCTCTTGTATTCATAGCTGGCATCAATTAAAATAACTGGGAGAGACAGTTTTAAGCTATTTTCTTTACCAGAGGTGGTTATCTAACTTGCCTATTCCTGGTCTTTACATAAGGGAAGAGCAATTTAGATTGTCTCAGACATGTGATGGCCGTGGACAACTCCAGGACAGAGCTTGTGTTAGCAGCAACTGGGCAAGAGCTACCCAAGGAGCTCCCGAGCTTGCAGGGGCAGCAGGATCAATTAGCGTGGCCGGAGAGGGAGGCCAATTTAAAGCAAAGTGCTGGCAGCGTTCAGGAGCGGCTTGGTTCTTTCTGTTTATGTGCTGATAAAGGCAGACTCCTGCCAGTCTGCCTAGGGCAGCAGAAACCCTAGAGCCAGCCCCAAGAGAAGAGTTGCCAAGGTCAAACGAGCAAGAGCAGCCTCCTTGCTTTGTCATACGCAGCGGCAAAGACCGAGTAACCGCAGAGGGTGGGTGCTGGAGCTGCACGCAGAGAAACCCCCCGCCCGGGAAGAGCCACAGGGAGACGGGTGGCAGGTCAGCCTGGTTCCCGACCCCTGTAAGACTCAGCAGCAAGGGCGAGCCAGAGCACTGCGAATCAGCGAAATAATGTACGAGAACGGGGCTGCCCTTTAACAGGCTCCGGAGGACTTTAAACCAAGCTGTTATCGCAAACCTACGAGAATATATTTATACCGCTGCTTCCCAGATGGCTCCTGGGATGCTGGCTCTTCCAAATCTTAACGCTGGCATCCCATCTTGGAACTAATTACAAGGAAAAAAAAAACAGATTTCCAAATATTTTTCCCAAAGTGGGCAACCGATGCCTGCTTTCTGTTTCAGCAAGCGGAAAGATTTATTGCTTCTTGTGGTAAATATTGATCTTGATCCTGTTGCACTCAATATCTATACGGCAGCTCAATAAGAAGAGATGTTTGCCTCCAGAGAAGTCAATTCCCAGTTATTAGCCTAGTTTTGCCAAGCGAGCCCGCCCGGTGCGGGCACCGTCACGGGCCTGGCTCTTCTCCCCGGCTGCATCAGAATGGAAAAGGAACCAGCTGCAGGAAATTTAAACCCCTGAACTTTCCACCCCAGCCACTTTGGCCGAGCGCCCTCCTGCTCAGCAGCGAACCGCGTCCTCCCGGCTGCACGCAGCCAGCCCGCACAGAACCATCCCCCTCCCCGTTTGCATCTCTGCCAGCACCGCCGCTCTGCAGCTCAGCTTTCCCCGCTGCGCACGCCCAAGAGCCCTGCCACGCTGCTCACCCAGCAAGCTGAGGACGGTGCAAATGTCTCCATCAAGCGTAACCCACCCAAACCCGCCAAGAGCAGCCCCTGCCACGAGGTCCCTGATATTGGCAAGTCGTAAACAAGGATGGGGGACTCAAAAGAGAGACAGTGGTTTCCTCCCTGGAGGTATCTCCTCCGAAATCTCCGATACCTCCCCCGAAACATTTTTCCAGAAGGGGAACAGCCCTTTTCCTGTTTTTACAGCCCTCCTGTGGACGGGAGTCGCAGTTCAGGACCTCTCGGAGAAGGGCTCTGTCCCTGCAGGGTCCCCACCCCCATGGGACAGACCAGCCTCCGCGGAAGCTGCAGAGACCGTGGTGCCCAAACCCGGCCACGCTGTGAGTCGGAAAGCAAAAATCTGGCCTGGGGCAGAGATGCCTCCTGATTCCCAGGCTCCGAAACATGCGGAGGGAAGGGGGCACCACCTCGGAGATATCCTGGCCCCTTTGGTGGATGCAGGGACAGGGGGGCAGCCTCCCTGTCCCAGGGTACCTGTTGCAGCCGTCCTTGGGCTCCCCGGCATCCCCATCCTTGTTGCCGGAGGTGGCCGTCCTCTGGCAGTTCCCATGGAAACCGGCGACAGATGGGTAAGGAGATGGGCTGGAAGATGCTCCCCGCTGCTCGCCCTGGGCGGTGAGTCCTGCAGAAGAGGGTGCAGCCGTACTCAGGGGAGCGTTCGGGTCCGGTGGCGCTTGTGTTAGGAAAGGGTGCGAGCAGGACACCTGGGGACGCACGAGCTCGGTGAATCTCTCAGACATCCAAATGCAACCGAACCCCTCAGATGAAGCCTGCCTCTGCAATTCCCTCGCTGTCCTCAACAAAGATGCACGGGGCAGCGCAGACCCATGCCCCGCTCAGGAGAATGCGATATTCATCAAGCTATTGGGGCTCACCTGGTCCCGAAAATCAAGACAGAAACTTTCCAAAAGAGCTTTTGCCAGAGACTGCAGCTTCTCACTGAGACCTGCCAGCTGGCAGGCGTCGGACACCGACCTGGCCTCCAAAGCATATCCAGGCAGGGATAACGATAATTAAATAGTTAACGGAGTGATTTCCCCTTTGATGGACAGAGTGGTCCCCAGCGGGCTCAGGGCAGGAACCTCTCCAGATCCTTCAGGCAGTGGCACAAAGCCAAGCCCAGCTCTCATGGGACAACCTGCAGCTGGGTGAGAGTCCTACCTGACAGGGGAACCTCAGGCCTACAAAATATCATGACAAGGCCTTTCTACAAGCCCTTTTTTATCCAGAGGTCTCGGCACACCTCTCATAACCCTCCACCGGACTGCAGGCATTCATCTGTGTTTGAAAAAGAGATGCATCATGTTCAAACAACATCTCCGGGTGCACAGAGGCGCCCATCAGCAAAATGTCTCCTCATGCATGGTCAGCACATTGCCCTGAAGCATCCCTTGGAGCTCCCTGGAGGTTTCCCACCTAGGCAGCAATCGCCCCAAGCCCTCCTGGAGACAGGGAGAACCGGAGAAGGGATGCAGAAGACAAGCAAGCCAGCAAAGAGGGGGAAAGAAAACACCTTTGCATTTGATGCGCTGATAGGAAGAAGAGGAAGAGGAACAGAACGGGCGAGAGTCAGCTCCGCTGCAGGTACCTAACAAGCCACACGGTTGAGATGACTAAAGCTACAGCATATAATTACCCCCCATCCCCTCATAATGAGCACTCATCAGCACTCAACAACCCCCACTGCTCTCTAATATTCATCCTTTGTTGGCACGGAGGCACTTCCCCTCCTGCCTTGTACCTTGACACGGTTGATGTTCACGCCGCTCATGCTTCTGCTGCGGTCTACGAGGAAGATAAACTCTCCTTGGGCTTTCTGGAGGTCTGGCTGGAGGGTCCTCAAGTCAGGGCAGAAGTTGAGCATGATGACGGGGTGGTGGGGGATGTCCTTGTTCAGCCGCTTCCTGATGATATCCGTCTGCAAGAAAGAAGGAGAGAGCTCGAGAGGTTGATTTTTCTGCCCCTTTTCACTTCGAGGGGAACCAGAGCAGGGCTGCGAGCCCAAAGGTGTAAGTGCGCGGCCTTTTGTGGGCAGGGATCGGCTTGTCTTGGCCTCAGTGGTGACAACACCTGAGCTCAGGCTGCGCCGCAGGTTGCTCTGTCTGTACACCCTGCGGAGCTGCTCCGTGGGTGGACGGGATTCCTGCCTCCTCCCAGCCACGGTCATGCTTTGCCCGGGAGACAAAGGCTGGCAGAAAGCCGAAATTAGGGACCCCCTGCATGCATGGATGAGAGCCTGGAGAAGAAATGAAAAGATCTGGCCCCGCGCAGCACCTTGCAAAATTGATTCTCCAATCATTTCATTAGATCCCTCCCGAAAACGTGGTTCATTAGCGCAGTTTAGCATCACACTGAGGCACACCGGAGGTTTTGTCCATGGTCACTCAATAATGAAGTGCGAGACACAGCCCTCAGCAAGCTGTATTCACCGCTTTGATTCATTCCTGCCGCCTCTGGTTTGCTGTTTTTTCTGCCCATCTCTTTTATCATTTTTCTTTGTATGGATCGAAACGCTTCGGAAAGCCGAACCGGTCGCTCAGGACATCGTTCGATAGGAACCCACATGATATATGTCTCCGTACTGCACAGAGCTCTAACGGCTCTCTGCATTTTGCCTCATTTTATTTCAAATATCAGTCTTCATTAAAAACGTGATAAAATCAAACTGGAAAAAACCTCTTGCGATGGGTTTATAATCTGCTGCTGTGTGTATATAAAGCAGTCCCAGGTTCATGGTCACGGCTGCAGTGAATCAGCGCATCGCTGCTTTCGAGGGAGCTCCGGGACCCCACATCAGCACGGCCCACGGCCTTTCATCCCTGGGTCTGCAGTGCGGAAACGTCCACCGCAATAATTCAAAGGCTGCTGTTTCATGCTGGTTTCACCAGGAGTAAACCAGACCCCAAATAACCGGGCTTGTTTTCTCCAGCCGTGAGTTATATTCCTGGATCTACGAGCTAACGACCAACCTTTATTTTACGTAACTCACTACACTCAAGAGTCCCTGCGGATCAACGCGTACGCGTGGGCTTCGCTTTCGGCTGCGCTGCCTGAGTGCTGCTTCTCTGACCCCTGTGAAAAGACGGTTCCCATTCACAGGAACAAGTACCTCGCTGTCACCCCAGCTCTCGCTCACCCTCCTGCATTTCACTCTCATGCTTTGGAGTACAAATCAGTCAGTCACTGGGAACTGGAAGGGCTTTTTCCATCCCCGTTTTCCTCCAGCCATATGACATTATTTTGTTTAACATCTTTCCCGGCACGGATGTTTATCACATTTCAGACTAGAGGGATCCTTGCTGTCTCTCTGCCTGAGGACCGAATCGTGGCCCCGGACCTACCCGCAGCACTCCCTGGGATGCTCTTGGGGACCCAAGACATAAAATCCCTGTGTGATCGGGATGAGCCCGTAACCTGGATTTCCCCCGGACTTCAGGGTGAATTTTACAGGCAAGCCTTCAGTAAACAGCCTCGGAGCTGCTGCTACGGGTCAGCCAGAAAAGCAGGCATCTCATCCGCGCCGTCTCTTCTCCCCACCTCCCCTCCCCTCCGTTCCCCCTCACCCGTTATCCAATTACAGTAAACTAATCAGATCTTGTCGACCAAGAGTTGATTCCAGTCTGCATTCGTCCCCACCACCCTGCTAGCTAACGAGCATCCAAGGTTTTTGCATAACAAACCGAGGGATGAGAATTAATTATCATTTACTGCTGAAATTTCTGGGCTAATTCATTTAAGCCGAGAGGTGCCCAGTGTCATGCTCTGAGCAGCAGCAATTCTAGCCCATAGTCTACCCCAGATATTCAGGGCATTTTCTCTGCTTCTCGCCCTTCTCCGTGCAGTTGCTTCCCAGTCCTCCTGGGGCAAAGAGGTGGGTTTCCTGCAGAGAAATGGCCTCGGAATGATTCCTCCCCCCCCGATAATTTGACATGCTAAAGACACAGAAATAATTAGAGAGCCATCTGAGCCGTAGCGTGGGAGTTTCATTTCGTTCCACCTGCCGCACGCTGAACACAATTAAAGGAGACGCCTGCCGCGCCAGCAAGCGCAGCCCTGATCCCAGCATCGCGCCGCAAGAGAAAGCGAAGGGCAAAAGGAAAGAGAAGAGGGTTGATGTGTCTCTGGTGAAAGGAGAAATCATGGCAGCACAGGGAGGCACCTTCGCAGCAGGTTTGGGACATCTGCCAAGCGGGGGCCCAGGCTCAGACACATGGAGAATGAGTTTTAAGGGAAATGAGCATCCCCGGTCGCAAACGAGAACATCTGCGCATGTAAAACAGGGAGCCGACACAGTCAGCCCGGGGCTGCGGTTACACAAGTGTGACACGTGCCTTGGGTGAAGACGCCCACCCTGGAAATTCAGAGGGCTCTGACTAGTCCACTGCTCTTCACTGATCCCAGACACAGCGATGTGGCAGCTCAGGAGCGCTAGGCTGTCACTCGTTGCTTTAGAATTGCTGAAAGACAAGGCGCAAATCCCAGAGCAGATATTTTTCTATCTGCTGATCAGCAAAACAAAGAGAAGTTTCTCCTACCTTGTCTTCAGTTCAGCTCATTATTCCAAGTAAAATCACTTATTTCTCTCTGACAGCTATCCAGAAACAGTAAACATTTACTGAGCAATTAAAAGAATATTTTATTCTATGTCACTGCAATAATTATAATACCCTTAACGCTGTAACAATGTACCTATCTAATTATGCTATGCTAGACTAGTACTAATTATACACACAATAACCATCTCAGAGCTTCTTCGACACCCAGTTTATCAGAAGCATTGCAGAATTTTCCCCTCTTCCTCCACATAAGCCCTTCTCCGAGGGAGGATGCTGCAGAGCTTATTGGGCCAGTGTAATATCTGGCACTGCAAGCAAGCAAGCAATCATTTACTTGCACAGCTCCGGTCCCAAGGGAAGCCTCAGCTAACGCCTGCAGCTTTTGCTTCTCACCTTTTTCTCAGCACTGGGGTCCTTCTTAGTGCCTTTAATGAAATCGTTCTTCCCCTTCAGGTGTCGTTCATACTCTGCAGGCGTCATATCACCTTCTTCCATTAAGACATGGGGCATGTGGGGCTCTGGAAATGCAGAGAATCGGGTGAAGAACAGCCTTGGCTAAACTTTAGGTTTGCAAGAGATGCAGGCACCCTCAGCTGTGAACACAGAGCAATATAGAATCATAGAATCACAGAATAGTTTGGGTGGAAAGGGACCTCTAAAGGTCATCTAGTCCAACCCCCTGCCGTGGGCAGGGGCAACCTCAAACACATGAGGTGGCTCAGAGCCCTGTCCAACCTGACCTGGAATGTTCCCAGGGATGGGGCATCCACCACCTCTCTGGGCAACCTGGGCCAGTGCTTCACCACCCTCAGCGTAAAACATTTCTTCCTTATCTCTAGTCTAAACCTACCCCCCTTTAGTTTAAAGCCATTCCCCCTTGTCCTGTCACAACAGG